TACTATAGTATATATATATATATAGTTCTAAATAGTTATATATATATAGATAAAAATACTATGTATGCATATACAAATGTGTTATTACGTATACGATCTGTATGTGTATGTGTGTTGTGTGTTGTGTGTTGTGTGTGTACGTATATATATATATATATATTTATATATGTATGTATATTAAGTATATATATATACAGAGTTGTATAGTGTGCATGTAGTTCCATAGCTTAATTGAAGTACAGATTTACCTAGGTTTGTTGGTTTTTTTCTCAGATATTATTTGTAGTATATATTTGCATAGTTCAGATATGTATCTGTCTTTTCATATGTTGGGGTGTGTCGATGCTCTGTCAAGGTCAAGTTGTATCATTTGGACCACATGCATATTGATTTGTGACTTCTATGATTTTATATGTAACTGTGTCATCTCGAACCACCAGTAAACTCACGTGTACACTATCGCAGTACTCTTGTTTACGCACCTGTTTATTTACTATTTTGTAAGTGTCTAGGATTTTGTTCATCAATGCTATACTTCCTCCTCCAGTGAGTACCAATCATCGTATCTGTTACTGGTAGACCGACATGTCAGTTTTGCGTCATTCAGAGTTGTACGTTGCGCGTACGGTGAAGAAATTATCGATGTCCTCATGTGTAGTACGATATCCTATCTGTTCTCTTCGCGCATGTTTCCTGCACATAAATCGACGATACCCGGGACACTTGTAAATAGATATTCTCTATTCTCATCATCGTAGACATGAGATGGATCTACCCGCTTTTGACGATGAAGTGTTGACTAAGTTCACCGACTTGCCACTTCTCTCTCCAATATACTTATCACCTGGACAACACCTCACACCCTCGTACAGTCCCTGCGCGCTTATTGGCTTCGCACTGCTAGGGCTGGCAGCACTCCAAGGCTCGCTGTTGTTCCTGAGTGTGTGCGTGCTATGCCTGGTCCTGTGCTGGGTGACATTCGTCGGCACATGGTTGGCTCTGTTCTCGTATGTAGCACATGCCATACACTCTCGTGCGTACTTAAAAGTCGAACACGCGACCACACCTGGACCAGTTTCAATGCGCGATGCTGAGCTGACGGCTACGAGCGACGTATATAGTGAGAGGCATTTAAAGGGCAGGCGGGTCAGCTTCTGTCCTACGGTGGACAATGATTCCGGGTGGGATGTGAACTTCATTGGCACCGGGGACGAAAGCGCGATCAAACCCTTCGCTGGAAAGTATGTGCTAGAAGTGTATTTTGTCATATACCAGTCTGGTTGTGCGTATGCCCATGCCGATCTCTTGCAAGGGTTACATTGACGTCCGGGGCTAATGTTTCTTAGGAACTGTGCGGCAATCGCGACTAATGATTGATATTGAGGCTGTAAGTTCTGCTAGCATCTGTGTGGTTTTGTTTTGAGGTGGGCTTTGTGGTGTAGAGACCGCTACAAGTGGCTGCTCCTACTGTCCTTTCCCTCTTCTTTCATCATCGTGTCGTCTACTTTTGTATCTGCTGACAACTCAATTCTGAATGTTTTGTTCCGATGCAACTTTGCAGAGTCAAAAAGATTGCGCCCGATAGCGTTGACGAAATGATGGAGACTTCAGTTGCAGCTTAGGATCGACCTCGTATAATTCTATCAATCTAGAGTTGGCAACATCAGCAGCCACTCACATTCGGTGGTCCTACACACAGGGATGCGCACGTGCAGAGCAATATCAATTTAAACATGCCTCTTAAACATTTAGACATGCCTCATGGGCATATATTTATACATCAAATGCATACGGTCCCGGCCAATATATCTTCAAATAGGATAAATTCCCTGTTATAGTAAGGCCCTCCCTCCCTTGCACCACTTTTGTGATTACACCTTCCCATTCATTTAGAATTTCGCGCATGGAAAGCGCTCTTATATCGGCTTTCATGAATGCATGTCCGGCGCCATAAAGTCCTAATCTGCACAATGACAAATCGGGCATAGACAACGAAATAAACATTGCATACATATTGATGTACATAAGAACATGTGCCACTTGAGACATTACCTAGAGACTGCGCTCTAGCAAATCAGGCTAGATTGTTTGAATTCTTCGAAGCAATTTGAAATGAGTCTCGATTATCATAGTATAGGTGCACTGCAATTGGTCTAAACAGAGTTTGAAAGTTGTTTTCTATTTATTAATCAAGCAATAGTATCGGTCCGACCAGAACAAGTCTTTTCATTTTGTGATGGAGCTTGTGCTCATAAAGGATACTATTGAGATTGGTGAGACAGGAATTGAGAATGCGTTTCATTCTTTTAAACACCTCAGCGCTTCTCACGCCACTTGACATTAGACTCGTATACACAAAGATACGAGCAAGCGCGTCGGTAGTAGAATACCGCCTGATTAATACGCCTCCTCCTACCCTTATTCTTGGCAGATGGGATGCTAGGGTCAGTGGTAAGAACGCATGATTTGCGTTGATCTCCCTCCCAATTGCAGGGCAACTCTAAAATATACTGCACCAAATCTCACCAGGGCAGCAACCAAACTTGTGCAGACTAGAATACTAGTCCGGTCAACTCTATACTCATATACGGAGAATAAAGTATCGGCTCAGTATACGTAAGGAATAATACGCGACTTCACCAATGAGCAGTACTTATCCCAGTCCTTGCCGTATTTCTTCTGGCAATTGTCCCCATCCCTCAAGTCTCGGTGGATCAGGAGTGTTGTGAAGTATATAGCATAGAAATAGGGGATTTGGTGGCCAAACCCGCATGGAAGACACCAGGCCAATCCCTGCAGCATATCACCAAAGTAGTTGATGTGTCGAGCAATACCCCACCAGCCAGACGTCATCAGCCGAGTGCCCCGATCTGTTTTCATGTATTCGATGTCTGTGAAGGCAGGATCAAGAATGCTGTGTAAGTCTATATGAGTACAGTGGATTAATGCTGCGGTGCGACGTTTCAATGCGGCATATCGAGGAAACTGTGATTTTTAAGGAGAGAAGCAGAGCACACCTCTAAAAATAGGGACCCAATTACGCGTACATACAAATGCGGCGACCGATTTTTTCAAGAACATACGTGCAACGGCTGGATCATCCGGGTTATTCCGGAACAGATTCTTCTGTCGATTTGACAATCTGCAGATTAAGAGATAATTACAAAATGGATTTATTAATTTATTTTCGACTGCAAGATTCCTGGCTGATCGTGTTAGTACATTCATGACATTCTTTGCCGAGTCCTCTTAACAAAGCCAGAAGAATCTGAAAACTAATACCGTCGATCAAGATCAGAGAATAAGTTTGTACGAGTAGGACATCTGTGCCACATATCAGACAGAACTAACCGAGACAACTTTCCCAAATCATATGCTTGTATAGCATGCACCATTCCATACCTGAAAATTGCATAACCAGCAGCGTTCAAAGCAACGATCGCCACCACTGCGGCCACAGACAGATACTGAGGATGGCTCACCAAGTACCTTGCCTGTAGTGTGTACGTGAAAGGCACCCAGGCCAAATCTCCGAAGGCCAGCATAAAACCGAATCCTTCTTCAGTCACATCCATGGTCGTTAGCAGGGCCGCCTGTGTGTATGAAAATGAGACAATAGCCATAAGTACCGAGTTCTTTTTCACTTTGCTTTTTATAGGTAGATTTGCCCTAAACTAGCACATATAATGATTTTGGTAGTGCGTGATGAAAATGCAAACAGTATAGAAGATCATGTGTATCCCGATAACATCAACATACTTAATATACAGAAAATAGAGGCATCTCATTCAGGGCCAAATTGGATTAACTCACACCCACAAATTCTACACGGTACTCGTACACGGATTTGGTGTTGTGGCTAACGTACTCATCCAAAGTTGTAGTCAAACATTCATCAGTTCGTACAATAACCAAAGATATCATGATATACAACGTCATGTATTAATACAGATACTAAAAATCAAGAATGGTTGATTCAAAACGGATTACCGATTTCACACTATAACACCGATAAGAGGAATTGGGATTTACGTGCCGCCAACACAAACCAGGATGAAGCTACACTACGACACCCAAACCGATTTTCTTTCCTATCCGTAGCATGTTACGAGCCGCGAACCAAGGCACATATCTGCTCGCGTAAAGATACTCCCTTTCCCGTGCTTACCTCAGACCAGAAGCTATCCAGCACGTAGAATATCTGAAATACATTGACAAGCGCCATCGAATTGGATAACTCTCCATGCAGCTGTACTTGTTTCGCAGCCATGGCAAGATCCAGTACACACCAGCCGATAAGTCCAGGACGTAATTCGCAAAACACCTTGAGATCAAAGTCGCCAATTCGAGGATTCAGCTCGCGACCCATGAAAAAGTCGTAGAAGGGATTGCCTATTGTGAGGAACAACAGGTAAGTAATTATTTAAGGCGGAAGTGTATATATATGCGTATATATATATATATATATATTATTTATGATATAAATATAGAGATAT